TTCTCCTTCTTTAACTTTGTCACCGGAGGCAGAAGAGAGATGAAAACCTCAGATCTCTCTTCAAAGCAACCCTCCTGAGTAAACCCAGGTACTGCTCCCACCTCCACGAAGAAACGTGCAAAACCAGCTTCCGAAGTGATGATCTCATTGAATATGTGTCAAAACCCACAGCATGTGTAGCACCAAGCACGAACCCTAATGGGAACCGCGAGCTTTAGTTAGTAGTAACCGTGGGTCGAGATGGAGGGTGACAAAGGTACCGAACTTCTGTGAAAGGCTAATGAGGGCAACCGTGGGAGTGGGGGGGTGGAGGGGGGCTATGGGGATTCTCTGACTTCCCGCTTGATTTTTCTGTGAACCTAAAGTGGTGCTTAAAATTTAAAAAAAAAAAAAAAAAAGGAGTCTATTAAATTAAAGAAAAAAGTGATGAGAAATACTTGAGTCCCAGAGCAAAGCAGATGTGCTCTTGGCAAACTCCCTTTCTCAAACAGTGTGCGTTTGCCTGCAAAGTTGTTGCTCTGACAGTTGGACAGAAGCTCTGATGTGCAGAGAATGAGGAAGCTTCTAGCAAATGCATGGGTGATATTCGTGTCTTCACTGGAAATGCAGGCTGCAGAGAAGACACGTTTGGCGATTGATAATCCATCGTGAACTCTGGGAAGTGTGGGGGCATGCCTGCCCCGCGGGCCACATGGAAGAGTGGCCGCGAGACTGGAGGGGCACGTGTGGGGAGCCGCGCTGCACCCAGGGAGCCGCAACGGTCCCTTCACAGTCTCCCCAGCCTGGACTCCGTGCTGGTGAGCTGGAGAGAGATTACGAGATTTGACTTTTCTGAACCCACGCGCGGGTGGTCAGGGGTGAGACGCTCCTTGTGTGTTGGAAAGGAGGAGCTGAGTTTCTGATGATGCCAGAAAAGAAATTCCTGTGATTTCAAGTGGCGTATCTCCGGGCTATATGTCATAGAACTCGAATCTGTCAGTTCAGGGCCCTAAACAGTGTGTCTTTTAATATCGGGAACAAGATCTCAGGATTTTTGAAGACTCCAAGTGTCCCGGGGGGCCGGGCTGCTGATACCCCGGCTTCTCAGAGTCAGCACGTGCGGGTTGCCCTTCATCTGGGGGAGGAAGAAATTGGCGGTGCGGTCCTGGGCACATCTGAAAGTCACCTCCGGTGCCACGAAGCGGATGCAAGCTCTTTAGGTAGCACAACGCAGCCCGAGAAAGCTCAGGACCCGCCTGCCGCTGTTCTCAGAAGTGACCTCACTCCTCACCCTTCTGGCTTCGGCGTGGCACGTGCTGATGGACCCAGTGCGTGGCAATCCCGAGCGGAGTCGTCAGGGCGGACACCATCCCGATCTCTGTGTGATCTGAATACCCAGGGCCACCGCTACTGGTGACCTAGGACTCCGATTTCCTGGAAACGAAGAGTTTACAAAGACGCCACTCAGATGGGGAATGTGACCCCTGGGTCAGCATATCCTTCCTGAGGGCCAGACCTAGAGACGCTAATGAACCATTGCAGCAGCACGATCCCCGCCATGGGCAGGAAGGCTGTATATTTATTATTGTAAGAATTGGTTAGAACGTTGTCTCCATCGGTCCGCGCTGTGTGGCCCATGGGGGGCCCCGTGTTTGCATGGCCTGGCCTCCTGCAGCCCAGGATGGCAGGGTCTCTACCTCGTGCAGCCCGAGAGCCCCCAGTGTCCCCTTGACACGACCCAAAGGGCAACTCCTGGGCAGAAACAGCGAGAGCAAGCCTCTGGGTTTAGACCCAGGCTCCGTGTGGTTCATCTAAGTGCCACAGCAGACGGTTTTATCCAGCACTCCTCATGTGGACCATTCGGTTTTAAGATTTATGTAACACTGATGAAATAAAGACTCAAGAAAATCTGCACCCCCCAGAGTCTGCGATCTCTCATTGAGGCTGGACAGGCGATTCCCTCTGGTCTTCACGCTGTTTCCAGAAATGATATAAGGTCCCAAAACTCTTGATGGATAAAGCTGGCAGGACTCAAGTGTTGGATGGCGGAGACGTATTGCAATTCTGTTGCAATCTCAAGACTGTTCTTGTTCTCCGCTCCTGGAAAGCCCCTCAGATCCCTGCGGCACGTGTGTGAGATGTTCCCATGCCACAGCAAGTCGAGAGAGCACAGCGAGGGCAGGGTCAGGAATCGGACTGCCTTCTGAGATGATCGCTCTCGGGGCTCGCATGGAGAGGGGTGTCAAACACAGCCCATTCACGGATTCCCAAAGGATTTAAAAACATGGATCTTCTGAAGCAACTCAGATGAGAAACCACAGTAGCCGGGTTGCCCGGGCTCTGGGCTGCACACTTCTTTGCAACAGGATAGTGTTGACCGTGGAGAACGCTGTAGTTTCTCAGGAAATCTGTGACCCGTGATCTTAGGATATTCTGGTATTACACACTGATTTGACTCGTTGACATCGAACCTGTCGTGTCCGTGGTAGTTAACGTGGTCTGTAAGGAATGCTTTCTCATTGATACCAGCTCGAAACTCACGTATATTCAGCCAGCCCTCCAAGGGAGGCCATGTGTGGTTGCCTGTGGCTGCCCAGGCCCTGGTGGGCTACAGGGACTGAGTGAGGCGAGGGGCAAGCTGATGTACCAGGGCCCGCCCCACACGTTAAGGCCTCTGGAGAGCAAGTGACTTCTCTCCACCCTGCCCACAGAACCGGGTCCTGGGGAGCACTCTGGACATAGAGGACAGAGACACCGGGGTTGGAGGAGGGCTCTCTGATGTCAGGTGACCCCAAAGCACATGAGGACCAAAAGGACAGGGAGGTGACAGGAGCATCATCTTCTGTTTCAGGAGATTATTAGCCCCACTCCAAAAGATGAAGTTATTTTCTAAGTTGACAACCAATCAATGTAATCCATCACAGTAACAATGTACAGAAGATAAAACTCATGATCATATAAATGAAGAAAAAGCATTTGACAAAAATTAATATTCATTTATGATAAAGACTTGCAGAAAACGAGGGATAGAGGGGAATTTCCTCAACCCGAAAAAGGGCATTCATGGAAACCTGAGCCAACATCACATCTAGCAGAGAAATACTGAAGACTTGCCCCTAAGACTGGGAACGAAGCACGGATGTCCGCTCTTGCCACTCCTGTCCAGCCACTTCCTGGACCAGCAGGAAGTCCTGCTAGTGCAAAACGATGAGAAAGAGGAATGAGAGTCATCCTGATTGGAAAGGGAGAAACAAAATTGTTCCTATTTGCAGACAACAAAAAAGTCTTGTAGCTTTTACAAGTAAGTTCAGCAAGGCTGAAGGATGGAAGGCCAACAGCCAAAAATCAACAGCTGGAAACAAAGTTAAAAATCAACACCACATATGATAGCTCCAGAAACATAAAATATTAAGGCATAAATCTAACAGAATATGTATGGAATTTTTGTGCAAAAAATTACAAAATGCTGATGATAGAAATCAAAGAAGATCTAAGTAAATGGAAAAAAAATATACTATGTTCATGGATGGGAAGACCTGACATGGGAAAGATGTCAGTTCTCCCCAAAGTGATCTACAGGTCTAATGCTGCTTAACCAAAATCTCGCGATGAATTTTTTTGTAGATATAGATTGGACGACCTAAAATTTCTGTAGAAAATTCTAAAATTATGTTAAATAGCCAACACAACAGTGAAGTGAGAGGAAACACTTGATACAATTGGATGAAAGGACACTCTAAAGGACACAAAAACATATCTGCCAATCACTTATCTGATGGGGGACTTGTACCCAGGATACATAAAGAACTCTCAAAACTCAACAGTAAGCAAACAAACAATCCAGGTAAAAAACAGGCAAATGACTTGAACCAAGAGGTCACCAAAGGGTATATAATGAAAGGCAAACAAGCACGTGAAAAGCTGCTTACCACAGTTAGCAATCAAGAAAATACCGATCAACCACAGTGAGACACCGCTACGCACCCATCAGAACGTGGAAAGTGAAGAATGGTTGACAACACCAAGTGCTGGTGATGATACATCACTGGGCTAGGGGGACACGTAAAATGGTACAACCACTTGGGAAAACTGTTGGTGGTTTCCAGTAACGTTCAACTTACACTTACCGTGTTAACCAGCAATCCTGCTTGTAGGTATCGATCCAAAAGAAAGGAAAACATATGTCCATACCAACACCTGTATGTGAGCGCATAGCGAGGCTTTCTTCACAATCACCCCAAACTGGAAACTGCCCAAATGGCCCTCAAGTGGTGACTGGATGGACGAGCTGCGGGGCAACGGAACCCTACCTAGGGGTGAAGAAGTGAGCACTGATTCACGAGACGACGTGACTGAGTCTCTAAAGAGACCCAGCGAGTGAGAGAGGTGGCCTCTGAAGGTCACTGACTATATGTTCTATGTATGCGACACTCCCGGAAAGACAGAGCGAGAGTGACAGACAGCGGATCAGCACTGCCAGGGGTATGGTGGTGGGACCAAGCTGTTGTGTCAAACCTCAGGGCTGCACACCAAAATGGGTCACGTTTACTCGGTGTTAGTTTTCTGAATGATAAAAGTAAGCATGGAAAACAGACTCTAAGAGCAGACAGACTTTTAAGGCAGGTCAGGAACTGCCTGGGGCAGGAGTGTGGCGGTAGTGAGTGGGTGCAGTTCCCAAGGGGGACAGCCCTGAGCCTAGTCTGCTCCAGCGGTCACATGGATGGATAGGCCCCGGGCCTCCGGGAGAGCGACGCCAGCGATGGCGGTCCCCCTCGCACGGTGAGGCTGGGCTCAGACGCCATTTCCACAGTGCCCAGAGTGGGGGTGGGGGGCTTTGGCCCTCTCTATTTGCCACAGAGTACCTGGTTCCCAGGGGGTGGAGACTTGCCTCGGATCACACACCCTTCCAGGTGCCAGAGCTCCGGCTCCAGCACCCCGGGCTGCCTTCCATGCACCATCCCTGCCGCGGAGGGGGGCCTACTCAGGGGCTACCCTGCTGCCCCCGCGAGCCTCGTACATACCGTAGCTGGCGATGACCGGGAGGTGTGGGCGAGGGAGTGTCTGGTGCTGTCCATCCCCCCGTGGATGAGATAGGCTCCCGCGCTGGAGACAAGAGGGCTCCCCCCGACATCCATGGTGATGCCCACCATGCTGTGGGAGGGGACCGCTGGCGGGGAGGAGCCTGCCACGGTCACCTGGGCGCTGCCCGGGGCCTCGAAGTAAGAAGCTGCGCTGCTGGGGGCGTACATCTGAGGCTCGGGGTTGTAGGCATAGGCCGTCCGTCTGTCGGGGAGAGAGAAGGGCGTCCTTTGAGTCTCCACGGGGCTCCGGCAAGACTTCCCATTACAGCTGGAGCCCCTCGAGACCAAGCACGCGAGGTCACTCAGACACGAAATGTCAGGGCGGTGCAAACAAAGTTCAAAGTGATCATTTCTGGAAATATTAAGGATCACGGGATGACTCATCGAAACTATCGCCGAAAAGTTCTGAGCGTGTAATGGGGTTGCAGGGGGAGCCCCTCCGTGGAGACGGAACAATTCCGTATCTTACTGCGGTGAGGTGCCATCTGCACCCGGGGTAGGACGGCCTCGACGGCATGCACGTTCACACATGTTCACGCACGCGCACGCACGTACGCACGCAATGCTGTGTAGGCTGCTACGTGTGAACGAGGCCCGGGGGCTAGCTGACAGCCCATCCCAGTGCCAGTCTCCTGGGATCGTGCTCTGGTCACAGATGTCACCACTCGGGGAGGCGGGACCAAGGGCACACAGGACTCGATCCTAAGTCAGCAACTGCCTCAAGAGTCTGTGATTCTTGGGGCGCCTGGATGGCTCAGTGGGTTGGGGCCTCTGCCTTCAGCTCGGGTCATGGTCCCAGGGTCCTGGGATAGAGCCCCGCATCGGGCTCTCTGCTCTGCGGGGAGCCTGCCCCCACCCCCCCACCTGCCTCTCTGCCTACTTGTGATCTCTGTCAAATAAATAAATAAAATCTTAAAAGAAAAAAAAGAGTCTGTGATTCTTGCAAAACAGAAGTGTTCGCCAAATGAAATTGCCGAATAAAAAGAATTTCTTTTTTTTTTTTTTTTAAAGATTTTATTATTTATTTGTCAGAGAGAGAGGGGGAGAGAGCGAGCACAGGCAGACAGAAAGGCAGGCAGAGGCAGAGGGAGAAGCAGGCTTCCCGCCGAGCAAGGAGCCCGATGTGGGACTCGATCCCAGGACGCTGGGATCATGACCTGAGCCGAAGGCAGCTGCTTAACCAACTGAGCCACCCAGGCGTCCCCGAATAAAAAGAATTTCTAAGTGATACCAAGAATTTGTCTGCTATTCCTTCCCCATTTGGATGAAGTGATATACCCTGCGGTTTGAGACTCAAATTTTTAGGTTCTGCTTGCTCATGTAGAGCTGGCCCCAGGAAAAGGTGGTGCTGAGGCTTAGTGACATGTCTAGTCACCTCTGGGTGGCAGCGAGGCCCCACTGACTAGTGTCCAGGAGGCCTGCACCTCTGTCCCGCCTCCCGAGGTGACAGCCAATCTAACCGGAGCACAAGGTCAAGCTCAGGAAGTTGATGCTGGGACGACCTACAGACCTCACGCAGATTTCCCGGGCCATCCAGGCATGGATGTGGTCCGCGTGTGCACAGCAGGTCTCGGTGCTGTGCGGCAGAGACGCACACAACTCTGGCCATCACCGCAGCCAACCCTCACACCCGACCCCTGAACTTCTGGAAGGAGGTGTGGGAATCAAACAAACCAAAGGGCTCACGTCTGGAGCGCAATGACCTTCATGGAAAAATGTATCATTTTCTGCCCTAAGAACCCCATAGTTCAAGGGCAGAACTCTCTAGAAGTCTTTGACAAACAGAAAATCAAGTTTTATCAACATTGCAAAGAGCCAGAGGTGAACCCAGGCATGGATGAGAAGGTGGAGAGAGCAATGGTGTCTGGACTGTGAACACGGAATCTTCAGGCTTAAAAGGCTGGACTGGGGAGTATTTTGTTTTGTTTTGTGGAAAGCCTGCCTTTTCTGGAAGTGAGAACCAGAAAAGCCTGTGATTTCTGAAGTCTCCGCAGGGCTCTCCTGTCCTAGGACCGTTGTACCAGGTCCAACATCACCCAGAGGAGGAGGAGAAGTTCCTGCACACACAGGCCCAAATGGGAAGAGGTGGGGGAGTCGTGAGGGAAAGTTCTGGATGTGGCCCACGCTTGTCTGCGAGGGGAGGGGAGACCCACGTACAAGGCTCCATTCGTGTAGACGGCGTCTCCGCCCTCCACGTACTGCACCTGCGGGGGGTACACGTGCTGCAGGGGCTGCACCTGGAACGACATTGGGGACCTGGCGTTATGCACGCGGGCTCCTGGGGGGGGCCCCTGGGCACATCTGTCCTCGCCTTTTGTGAACACTGACTCCTACATTTCCGATATCCTGCCCCAGCCGTCCCTTTGACCAAGAAACTAGGAGAGCTGGTCCCCAAGAGGCCCCACGGGTGTGGAGCTGCTCCGACCTATGGCTCTGCCGCATTCTCTGGTCGTGGCGGCTCATTCCCGAGGGGAGTGAGGCAGGTAGCCCCCATTCTGTGGCAGGCCGGGGTGCGGGAGCCCAGTACTGCAGAGCGGAGCTGGGATGGTAGGTCCCTGCCGCCTGCCAGCCGCTGGGCAGAGGGGCAGGTCCCGCTGGATGGAAGCCAGAGCTGTGGACAGAACTTGACCTTGGTGGGGGGAGGGTCAGACACCCTCACCCCTGGCAGGGCAGAGGGCTCGAGCTGTTCATACTCTACACAGTCTCTCTGATGTCCCCTTTGGGTGGCCCTGGCACCCCTCTCCTGAGGGGCGGGGGTCCTGGGAACCACACTGGGGAGACCTTCAGTCTGAGCAGAATGCAGTGGGAGGCGGAGAGGAGCCCCAGGAAGCCCCCAGCCCCATTCTGCCGCGCCCCTGCCCTCACCTGTGGCCACGTCAGTTCAGCATCTCGGCAGACAGGGATGCTGGCCGGGGTGGGGGGGGTGCAGGTAGGGAGGGATACCCGAGCTCTGTGCGCAGAAGCGTACACCCTCCCCACAGAGGGAACCTTAATGAATGCTCCATCCAACCTCCTTTTGGGGTGAGAGAACCAGGGGCTGGGTTTCACGGTGGCCTCTAAGTCCTTCTGTGGTGCGGCAGGCTGGGGCTGATCCCCACCTCCTAGGACCAGCCAGTGTGGTGCAGGAGGCACCCCAGCCCCTGGAATAGGGAGCATCCCCGAGAAGGTTCCAGGGACTGATGTGCTGGGGCTGGGCTGTGCCTCGGGATGGGGGGAGGCGCAGAAGTCACCCTGCAAGTCCAAGCGGCCCAGAGAGAAAGGCTGGGGCAGGCCCAGCCCCACAGGAAGCTTCTGGCATCACGACACCGCTCATGTCTCCCTCACAGAGCTGAGACAGAGCCGCTGGTTCCCTGTGGGCCTCCTGGAAGCCTCTGCTTCTGTCCCACGACCCCAAAACCTGCCCCAGTTGCCTTCAGACCAGTGCCTCTGAACATGCCAGCGATCGAAGCCAGAGCCCCCTAGGGACAGGGGCGTGCTGTCTGGTCTCCGTGGTCACCAGGCTAATGCGCCCAGTTCCCAGGGCCCGCACTGATTGGGATTCAGCACGTCATCGAGCTCAAACCGGCGACCTCCAGCCCTTGGTGGAGTCTGGCCTGCCTCTCCTTGTGCATGAAGTTGCCCCCACAGCCGCGCCCCTGTGCTTCGGTCCACAGCCACTCTGGCGCACAGAGGCCGTGCTCGGCAGGGTGGCGGGGCGGCCGACCGCTAAGCCGAAGCATGAGCTTTTGGCCTTTTCTAGAAAAGGTCTGCCCTCCACTGCTCTGGACCAGCTGGGCTCTGTCTGAGCTGCTGCTCTGTGCAGCTGTGTGGCTGGGGGCCCAGGGCCTGCAGCTCTGTTCCCGGGTCCCTGGGTTTCACCAGAAGCACATCCTGGGTCTCGGCACTGGTCTGAGGGCACCGCGCTTCCTTCCCCAGCGAGTTCCATGTTCCTTCAGTCCCGAAACGTGGCTTCTCTGTCTGCGTGTCTACCTCGGTACCCCAGTGCTCTATCGAGGTGCTGGCTTGGACCCCGAATGCTGGAGCTCTGAATGGATGAAAGACCGTCAGCTTTCTTGGCCTGTGGCGAACTATCTGCAGTAAAAGATTTTTTTTTTAAACACAGCTTCTGAAAGAACTTTCTGGCAAAGCACTGAAGACATCAAAGACAAAAGGGCAGCGACAACAGGAAAGGATGCCTCGTTCAGAGAGGGCTCCGGATCGCTAAGGGTTAACATGTCCCGTGCCCCCAGTGCCGTGGTTACCTGCTGTGGCACCTGCTGGACCCTGGGGAGGGAGATTGGCTGCATCTGGGCCCCTTTGGGAGCCGAGCCCGCTGCCTGGACCAACACCCTCTAAAAGGGAAGGAGAGAAGGACATTTAGACTTTAGTCAAAGTTTGGTCCTTATCGCAAACACAGATTACAGCTGGAGCACCGCCACCTTCCAGGAACACGAGCAGGCCTGACAGGAGGACAGGATGATATGTGTGTGTGCGCGTGTGCGCGCGCGCACACACACACGTTCACATGCACGAGCACGAGCACGCGCACCTCCACCTGCCCCCAGCGCTCTCCCTCCCTGGGGTCTGTCTGTTCCTCAAGGTGACGTGGGCTGTTGCTGGCACCAAGCTGAGAGATCCGGTGATAAGAAGGACCCCCCCAGACAGCTGTCCACATCACCTTCCCCGGCCCTGGCCCCAAGCTGGGGCTGGTGACGGAAAGCGGCTGCCGTGGTGGGAAACTGGGCAGGACAGCACAGGGCTGGGACATGAAGCATGAGGGGTGCACCTGGGGAGGCGAGGCAGCAGGAATTCCTCTCTCTGGCAAGGAGAGAGGCTCCTACTGCTGAGGGAAGGCAGGGCTGCCCAAGAGCATGAGTGCTTAGAGCTTTCCAGAAAGGGAGTGCCCCAACTAGGCAGCAGGAAGTCTCCGCATGGGGAGTGGAGGCGGTGCCTGGGGGGCGGGGCAGGGGACAGGCATGTGGGCCTCTGCGGAGACTGGAAGCATCTCTAGCGGGCTGGAAGGCCTAGCACTGGGGAGGGGATGCTGTGTGGGCCCCTGGCACCAGCCAGCCAGGTCCCGGCCCGCAGGAGTCCAAGGCCTGCCGAGGCAGCCAGGGGTGGAGGGCTGATGGGTCGGGTTCAAGTGGGCAGGGAAAGATCACAGCCCCTTGGCACCCTGGGCTTGCGAGGCCCATGGGGCGAGGTGCAGGGCGGGGTGGGGGGACTGCTGTATTTGCAAGAAATAAAAGCTAAACAAGTCTGATTAGCCATTCTAAAAAGAACAACCACTTGGAGTTAGGAACAATGGGGCTTTTCTAGCTTCATCAAGTGTCATGCTTCTAACTTCTGGAATCGTGCTCGTGAGGAGTCACATGGCTCCAGTGGACCTCTGCACACATATCCAAGCTTCCAGTCTGTTCCACTGCCCTCGGCTTTGTGTGGTCTTCTGTCAGCTCTGTGTTTGGGTCTGTGGTCTATTTCCACCCACGGCAGGAACCTGGAAGTCAGGAGCCTTCACGTGGCAGGTCTCTCCTTGCAAAATTTCAAGCCCATATCCATTCGAATGCTAGAACTCTAAGCAATCTTTAGCCTTATCCATAAAGTCTTCCTGGGTAAAAGGGACATTTCCCAGGTACGAGAAAAATTCCATTCAAGGATAGGAACAGACTAAGTTGGTTTCTTTTCATGTTTATATCCTTGAGTCCTTGGTGGGACCTTTTCAACAAATAGCGACGGACACACTAATTTGGGAAAATATAGATTCCTCTCTCTGCTGACTCGGGTGCTTTTCAGAACCGAAGAGGATGCGATCCCCCTCCCCGGCCACACTGGTTTCCCCGGAACAGCCCGAGCCCCAGGCAGCAAGCGGCTGCTCTGTTACCTGCGGGGAGGCTGGTACCGGCTGGGCCACGGGGGCCTGCGCTGCCGCCGACGGACACAGGGTCACAGAAGCCGGCGAATCGGATCCACCCTCCGCATTCTGCATGCTCAGTTCTAAAGAAAGGCGGAGAGAGACTGAGTGGAGCGGGGTTGCCGTCACGAAGCCCTAAGTGGCGCTGGGTGGTTCCTACACACGGACCCGGGCACCCTTGACCTTCCTTCCTTAGATGCCCAGAGCGCTGCTCTCCCCGCCCTGCCCCACCCCATCGTGACAGCCCCAGCTATCTCCAGACATTGTCCAAGGGGGGAAAAAGGCGATACATAGTGGGAGTAAAGAAGCATTTTATCTGGGGCGCCCCGGTGGCTCAGATGGTTAAGCATCTGCCTTTGGCTCAGGTCATGATCTCGGGGTCCTGGGACGGAGCCCCCGCATTGGGCTCCCTGCTCAGTGGGGGGTCTGCTTCTCCCTCTCTTTCCTTCTGTCCCTCTCCCCTGCTCATGCTCTGTCTTAAATGAATTAAAAAAAAAAAAAAAAAAAAAGAAGCACTTTATCCTGGGCTAGAGAGAAGTCCTGCCTTCTGTTCCTAGAGATCCTCACCCATGAGAAAGCATAAAACGGTGTTTCTTTGCAGCCAGATGCATACGTCTTTCAAGGAGGTAGTTTAAAAATTCTATACAAAAAGACTCATTTCATTTTTAAAAAATATTTTATTTATTTATTTGAGAAAGAGAGACTGAGAGAGCAAAAGCAGGCTCCCCCGCTGAGCAGAGAGCCTGACTCAGGGGCTCGATCCCAGGACCCTGGGATCATGATCTGAGCCGAAGGCAGAGGCTTCACCAACTGAGCCACTCAGGCATCCCGAAAGACTCATTTCATACCAAGACAATGTGGCAGAGGATACAAAACAATCAGTCCATGAAAATGCTCACAGGCAAACGGTCTTGGCTTTTTTTTTTTTTTAAGATTTTATTTATTTATTTCACAGATAGAGATCACAAGTAGGCAGAGAAGCAGGCAGAGAGAGATAGAGGAGGAGGCAGTCTCCCTGCTCAGCAGAGAGCCCAATGTGGGACTCGATCCCAGGACCCTGAGATCATGACCTGAGCTGAAGGCAGAGGCTTAACCCACTGAGCCACCCAGGCACCCCCGGTCTTGGCTTTTTAAGAACCAGCTGCCCTCGAGAAGCTGTGGAGAGGGCGTGGCTTTGTGGGCAGGTGCAGCCCCGTCCCCCGCAGTTATCAAGTGGAGTCTCCCCACTTCTGCCTCATGGGGAGGCCTGAGAGCAGCACACGGCGCACACCGCGGGCCCAGGACGGACACCAGAAGTTCACATAAGCTTTCCCAGCCCGGCAAGAACTCCCACCTCTGCTGATGACAGAAGAAAGCAGAGAGCCGGGTGCAGGTGTTTAATCTCTGAGTGTTGGCTTCCCCGATGAGGAAGATTCTAGGACTCCGCCCATTCCCCCCTCAAAGCCTTTGGTACCACAAGAGCCACTGGATGGATCCGTGGAGGTGTGGCCTGTGCCTGTGGCGGGTTCCTGGTTCCCTGACTCAGTCCTTACCACTAGATGTCCCCAGAGCCACGTGGTGACTGGCACTCCCTGCTTTCTTCTCTTCCAGGGAAGGAGGAGATGGAGAATTTCCAATGTGTATTTCCTGGGTCTCCCACTCTCCGCACCTTCCCAACAGAACTGACCTTTGGAATCATTCTGTAGGAAGCTGCTTAGTCAAGGTCTTATTTACAGATCTCCCCAAGGTCGGAACCAGTCACCTGCCCCACCCCCACATCACTTTGTTCCAATCTGAAGCCAGAAAGTGGGTCCCTTCAGCAGCAGTGGGAGGAAATCGCTGGACTTGGGCTCTCTGTGGAGAGAATCCACTGGTGACAGAGGGAGAAAGCTGACTCAGAGGACAGATCCTTGTTCACAGGCAGAAATCACTGTGCTCCAAAGTCTTGTTAAAATCAGGGGAGCCCGTGAGAGCATGAGGCTTGAGAGCGAGCCCATGCTCGGCTCACTGGGGCCAGAACGCACCTTCCAGAATACAAGTTATTCAAGATCATGCCAGGTTTTCACACAAGTGTATTTCCTAGTTTAACACGCTGTTTGCCCCGTGCTGTCTGTCACACTGTTTAGTGTATGGTATTCAGGCCAAGGGTCGCCAAAGCTTTTCTGCCAAGGTCCAAAGACTTTAGGCACATCTGGTCCTGTTACAACTACTAAACTTTGTCCTGGCACAAGAGTGGTCACTGCACGCGCGCGCGCACGCACACACACACACACACACACACACACACACACACACACATCCCGGTTGTGTTCTAATAAGACATCATTTAGGAAAAAAGGGCGATAGGCCAGGTTTGGGCTACAGACCATAGCTGCTGGTCCTTGGTTCGTATAATTTGGGTTTGGTGAAGTGATGTGTGTTTGGAGCATGGGTAGAAAAATGGCACTGTCTTGATTCAAAACCTTGGGGTCCATGGCCCCTGGGTCCAGGGCGGAGTCCCTGCGGCCCCATCTCCCCAACATGACAGAATTGGAGGGGCCACAAGGGATGACTCACATTGTTAGGAGGATGAAGCCCGTAAAGACAAATGCATTAGCGTCTGGTGGGAAACGACAGCTGTGCGCCTGAAGCCTATAAAGTCACGAAGAAAATCCCCAAATCCTGGAAACTCAGGAGCCAGGTTACAGCCCTTGAAACTGAAGATAGGAGTTTGGGCACAAGGGACAAGTCACTCTGGGGAGTTGCAGTGGGTTAAACAGTGACGCCCGAAACTCAGGGCTGTTCCTAATCTCTGAATGTGAGCTCATCTGGAGAGAGTGTCTTCGCAGATATCATCAAGGTAAGGATCGAGAAGAGGTCATACGGAGTAGGGCGGGCCTGAAATCCAAGGACGGTGTTCTTGTGACAGAAAGACTAGGACACGTGGGGAAGAAGCCCACGTGACAGTGGAGGCGGAGAGGGCGGGATGCGGCAACATGACAGGGAAGCCAGGGATGGCTTGGGCCACCACAAACCAGAGAAGGCAGGAAGGATCCTTCCCTAGAGAGAACACAGCTCGCTGACACCTTCGGGTCTCTGGAACTGTGAGGGTTCAAGCCCCCCAGACTGGGGTACTTCGAATGACAGCTCCGGGAATCTCAGGCAGGGACCTATATTATGAGGAGCACAGCTGGGACAAAAGCATCCCATGCAATGGCTTCTGGGTAGTGCTTCAGGGCCGTGCATGACCCGGGCAGTCGGTAAATATTTACCAGATGAATAAATCCCTCCGTGTCTCCTTAGTAGCACAGCCCATACCGCAGTATACCGAATGGTATGTGGTGTTGCAGATAGAGTCTATGTAAAGTGTCACTTACAGGGGTGCCTGGGTGGCTCAGTGGGTTGAGCCTCTGCCTTTGGCTCAGGTCATGGTCTCAGGGTTCTGGGACCGAGCCCCACATCGGGCTCTCTGCTCAGTGGGGAGCCTGTTTCCCCCTCTCTCTCTGCCTGCCTCTCTGCCTACTTGTGCTCTCTCTCTCTCTCTCTGTCAAATAAATAAAATCTAAAAAAAACCAAATGTAAAAAAAAAAAAAGGTGTCATTTACAACCTACCCGGTTATTTTAAGGCTGTGTAGGAATCTCCTGGGAAATGTAATGACCTTTTGAGACTGACTGTTCTACTCCCCCTGAACACATCCCTAATGTTAGCATCAGACAGACAGACTGACAGATGCCACGTGGGCCAGCCTGGCTGCTCCCATATGTTGAGGGCATGAAATCCTTCCCTACCCATCTAGGATAACCAAGGTCATAAATTGCCTATAAGCTGATCCGGTTTCCTAAGTTGTAGTTCTCTGAATTTTTCTTAATTTGGGTCCATTAATCAAGGGCTCTTAACACATCAAAGTTAAGGTGTTTTGTTTTTTTTTTAATTGCTTATTAAGAGGCATCCAACAGCACTGGCTTTCAGTAACCGTAGAGCATTGGTGGGACTAACCCTCCTGTAGATAACAGTTAAAAAATCTGAACAAGGGTGCCTGGGTGGCTCAGTGGGTTAAGCCTCTGCCTTTGGCTCAGGTCATGATCCCAGAGTCCTGGGATCAAGTCCCGCATCAGGCTCTCTGTTCAGCAGGGAGCCTGCTTCCTCCTCTCTCTCTGCCTGCCTCTCTGTCTACTTGTGATCTCTCTCTGTCAAAAAAAGAAATAAAAATCTTTTTAAAAAATCTGAACAAAATATTAAAACGCACAACACACACATAGACACACACACACAATTTAAAGACACAGTGGGTCAAGGGTGGCCGAGGTAGGCAGAGCCTGCCAGGGAGTCCACCCTTGAGAGAACTCTGCCACATCAGACCAGTGATTCTGAATTTTTGCCAGGGGCACGCCCCAGTCCATGAATGCTTCAGTGCAGAAGGCAACAGTCTGGTTGTCTTGAGTGTGAGAGGAGAGAGTTCCGAATATTAAGGGGAAATCCTGAAAGAGAGAGAGCCACAGAGGGGGCATGCCCCCAGATCTGCCTAGAGTCCATCCAAATCTTCAGCCAACTGACTAAACCACACTGTGTGGGGAAGACCCCAGGGGTTTGGGGGGAAACCCAGCAGCTCAAAGATGAACAAACTAAGAGGAGATTTCAGCTGCTGCTGAAAAAGATATTCGCATGAGGGACAGGGTTTGAGTCCAGCCAAGATAAGCACTAGCAGGGGGAGCACAGCAGAATCCATAAATTCCACAACACAGCATTCATGATATCCAGGGTCCGATACAGACCATGGATGATGAGAAGAAACAGCTATGACTCATACCAAAGAAAAAGAGAGGAGGAGTGAATTATAACCAGACCAAGACAATTCAGGTGGTACAGATAAAGCAGCTACTAAAAATAAGTCCAAGAACTTAAAGGAAGTTATATGTACAATATAGGAACATAGAGGAATGTCATTGGAAGACAAACTGTTAAAAAAAAAGTAGAAATTCTGGAGCTGAAAAGTACAATAATTCAAAGGGAAATTTCACTGATACACTTAACAGCTGATTAAAGATGGCAGAAGGAAGAGTTAGTGAACTCGAAGAGAAATCAATGGAATGCAAACTCAAGAACCAAAAGGAGGAAAAAATTGAG